AAGACATCAACAGGAATGCCGCCTCCCCACCGTTTGAACTCCTTGTCCCTGTCAAATAAACCAGAACAAATGCCCAGAGGCTCTGGCTCCTTTATTGCCACTGCTTGTGATCACCGAGAACCCAGTGCGGCCCCCACAGATACCCCGCGCTTCTTGGGCACTAGCCCCGGATCTCTCTCCCTGGTTTTGCTTCTCTACTCTGTCTCTCCTTGGCCCACACAGCCCGGCTGCCTCCAGGAGGCTCAGCCCCCTTGTTGCTCTGCTCTCTGAACCAGGAGCCCCGGGGGAGAAACTGGCCAAGTGCAGCATTTCCCAGTGGTAAGGAGAGCACTGCTCACCCTGGAGCCCGGAGGACCTGTTCACAGGAGCTAGGTGGAGGTTGGAACCTGGGGCACAGAGTGGGACGCCCCCAAGGGAGAGACTGCTGTCCTCCCCTTAGGCTTGGTGCACCCTCATGCCGTGACCCCCAATCTCTCTGTGAGGTTCACATTACTATGTCTTTACACTGAGACTAACGAGCCCCAGGGAGGTGGGATGACACGCCCCAGGCCACGAGGGAGTGAGAGGATCTGACATGGCTGGAAGAGGGTGTTTCCTTTCAACTTGGTTTTTTCTCACCTCTCTCCATTTACCTGAGACCAGAGGTGCTGACTCCCCAACCTCCTCCTGTCCACTACCCAGCAAAACGACCACTCCTGGGATGGGACCTGAACTGATGCCAGCACCTTCCCTGAACTGAATGGTCCCTCCCTCTCCCCCAAACACTCTTCTTTATGGACTCAGTCTCTTTCATTTTGAGCCAGGGAACGATAAGGGATGGGGGAGTAGGGCTTCATGCTGGTGTTGCTGGGGATGAGTTGGCAGAGGGTGGCTGTGGGTCTTCTCCCCAGTCCTATTTGAACTGATAGAAATTAATCACCAGTGTACAGACTCCTCTGTGTAATCACAACTCCTCTGAAATGATCCTGGGGTAGATCCAGAGTTGGGTCACCTGTGGCCAATTGGGACAGGGAGTCAAATGGGAAGAGGGTTCAGGCAGGCAGGCCATGCACATAGGCAAGTGAGTGGTGTTATGCTATGGTCTAGTGCTTCTTGTTGGGCCATTTAGAGAAGGAGACATCTGAGGAGGAAAGCTCCTTCATCAGACCAGAGCCTCTGATCTACCTTAGAAGTTCTGGATATCTCAGGTTCATCTCCACCTCTTCCAAGAGCTGCCTTTGGACAAGGGGGCTTTAGAAAAGAGATCATGATCAACCACCCACATAAACTTCATCAGAGGTAGGTAGGTGGTAAGGACATGGTCTCAGAGAAATCTGATTTGGTACTTCCTCAGATGGCCTCATTTGCCAAGCATCTTCCAAGGCTGTGCCTAAGCACTTCTGGTAGCTGTTATTAAGAGGGAGGAAATTTCCCTGCTCGGGGCCACCTTGAGAATAACCTCCCACGTTCGTGTCCAGTACTCTCTACCACATGGACACACCATGGGGGGCCAGGTGGACCTCATCCCTCTAAATGGCTCAAGTGCCATGGACCATGAATTTTACTGGAAACAGTTGCTGTGCTCTTTCCTAGTAACTACTGTCCTGACCTGTGTTCCAGAGAGCTCTCTGGACACCCCACCCTTCCCCAGGGAACTCAGAGGCTGCACCCAGAATACTGTGGCTGGAACAAGGGCCCATTTGGTTATGACTCGGTGCTCTGCTTTCTCTGGAAACTAACATCTGTGTGGCCCCCATATTATGTAGAGCAGGGAAGGGGGACCCCCTAGGAGATCTTGAATCTTATGATGTTGGAGGATGAAGCAAATGTGAATTCTCCCAAGATCTCCAAAATCTCAAGTCCCAGCTTGCAGAGAATCAGGGCAGGTCTCATCTGTTTATGATCGAATGCATAGCCCAATGGTTCTCACTGCTTGGGGATATTTCTTCTCTTCCTATGCTGCAGACATGCTCTTTGGTGGGAATCTAGACGGGAAGACTTTAGTTTGGACCAGTATTTTACAACCCTTTTTATCCCACGGCACACTTGAACCAATAGTTCAACTCCCACAGCACACTTAAATTATGTTGATCAAGAAAAAGAGTTTTTTTTTTTTTAATTGCTTACAAATGCATTTGGGGAGAATTTTTAAAATTAAAAAAAAAGAAAAAGAAAGATTTTACTTGCTGTGCTTTGAACTGGTTTCAAAAATAACTTAATTAATGGTCTTTAAAATTTTTCACAGCACACCAGTTGAAAATCACTGGTTTAGATGCACTCCCCTCCTCGTATGCCTGTCTCATTTTCATACTTTGGGCACATCTGATGCTCACAGGTGGATCCATATTGATACTTGCACCAGCAACATGCGTCCCATCCCAACCTCTATTCATCAACAAACCTGGGATACCTACTGCATGAACTATAGGAAGTTATCTGAAATGCAAGGGTTGGGTTTAGATGCTGAGTGTAATATCTACCACTCAAAGTCCATCAGCCTAAATATGATTAAAGTAAGCCTGAGTCCATCAAGGTCAGCCTGGCGCCAGGGAAAGTCCAGAGCCCAGGTCTTTGGTGCTGTCCTGGCCCTAGGATGGGTCTAGATTAGGGTGATCAGACATCCCGCTTTTGGGGGGACAGTCTCGCTTTTTAACAATTTGTCCCGCATCCCGTGGCGTTTTTTAAAAGTCCCGATTTTTGGAAAAAATGCACAACAGGCGGGAGAACAGGAAGGGAATATATGGTTTTCGGCTGCGATGTGGCTATTTCGCCAGAGTATGAGTTTTATATTATTTTTGTTAATTTTATAATGTTAAACTGTAATAATAACAAATAATTGTTGAGAACTGATTATCCAGAACTGCTTATCAAAGTTTGCATTATTGTCAGGCCCTGCCCTGCCAGGTCCCCTGCCCCGCCCCTGCCCCCCCCCATGTTGTCCCGCTTTACAAATTTTAAAATCTGATCACCCTAGTCTAGATCCTGATTCTGTGGGGGCCTTGGGGCTGGCCTGGCATGAGCCTGAAACCAGGGATGCTGGGGCCCAGGGATATTGGGGCTTGTCTTGTGCAGGGGCCTGTTTAGAACCTGGGGTCTCTGGAGTTGTCCCAACGCTGGAGCAGACTGCAGGCAGGCCTGGCACCCAGGTCTGGGGACATCAGCTTATTTGTACTTTCTTTTTTTCTGACAATTAGAAACCTGATTCCAATCATCTACCAGTTAATTCACTTATTTGTTTAATCTCCTATAATGTATATGAAAACTAATTTTAGAATTGTTTGCTGATACCTCCGTGAGAAACAAATGTCCTAGATAACAGCTCTCTGCACAACTGAATGAAAGTTCCCCCACATTAATAAGTGAGAAAAACTTTCTGTTCTGTGAAGCCCATGAGATCTGCCTATCAGATTTAAGGTTACCAGGCAGGACGGTAAAAGTCGGAAGCTTGTGTACATGGCAGAATGAGAACAATTTGGGGGCTTGTCATAAAGGCAATCAAAGCAAATGGGGTAGAGAGGGGGGGGAAAAAAAAGCTAAGCCCACTTGGTGAACGAGTTTATTTGGCAAAGGTTTGCTCCTGCCCAGCCCTGGTTGGAATAGATGGGCTTTTCTAAAAGTAGCAAGTCCATTTCTGAGGCCTTTTAAATTCTTCCAGCCTGCACAGGTGTTGGGGCCGGTGGGGAGTTTGGGTGTGAGACGTCTTCCTAAGGTTATCTGTAAGAGAACTAAGGTTAGATGTTGAAAGGTTAGTGAAAGGCTCGGAAAAACAAGCCTTCAGCCTCAAGCTTGATAACACCCATGTGCACCAGACAATGGGACTACAATTCTTTAATGTAACAGCAGGAGTTCTCTTTTCCTCCTCTTCCCTCTCGCTCCTCTCTACTCTCTTTCTTTTCTTCCCCACTCTCTCCTTATCTCTCTCCCCTCTTTTCTCTTCTCTCCTCTTTTCTCTCCTCCTCAGTGCTGCTCTGCAGCCTCCCTCCCCCCACCAATAAAGACCTTTTGTACAAGCAAGGAAAAAAACCAAACAAACAGGAGTTGCCCACTTCTGAGCAGGCAGGTTGTTGGTCCATTGAACAGAGAAAGGTAGAGAGGCTTTGGGCTTGGCTGAGCCAAACAGCCCATGAAAAGGTCTGATTAGGGAAGCAGAAAAAAAATCTGGACTTAATTTAGGAAACTAGCAAACCATTGAGTAAGATAAAGAGGACGGCATGGATATTGGCTATATAATGAAAGAAGAAATGGGGTCCAATTTGGTGTCTTGGTTTATTTGCCAGGGAATTGTTTTCCAGCTATGGGGGACATTGTCTTTGGCTGTTTTTGTGCCTAGGATTTGAAGTACCTCAGTCTTCTGTTTGGGACAAACAGCTTCTGAGAAGAGAATAAGTTATCAGTGAAGATAACACGTCTAAGCAGATGCCACCAAACTCACATCATTTTCCCAGCAAATGTTTCCACAGTAGGTCCAACAGCACGTGTGATTTGGTTCTTTGCACTTAAAGGTTCTAGAACACGTCTTGGTACATTCTTCCACATTTGGCTGTCCCCAGCATTCTGCAAGTTGTAGTTCACCCTCTAAAATTAAGACTGAATTGATACGGTAAGAAGGAGGACACACGTGAGAAGAGAAGCTCTTCATAAGTTTAAGAGCTCCTCCCAGGGCGGCGCCTGTGGCTCAAGGAGTAGGGCACTGGCCCCATATACTGGGGGTGGCGGGTTCAATCCCGGCCCTGGCCAAAACTGAAAAAAAAAAAAAAAAAAAGAGCTCCTCCCAGAATTTGACCTTCAAAGCCCCACCAAGGAATCTATTTGCCTTAGAAAAAAATTCCCTTTCTGGGCCTCCTTCAGTCCCAGTCATGACATTGTTACTGATCCTATTCCTATTGCACCTTGACTGTCCTCTTTGCCTTCTCGGCTCCCACAGGTTTTAGCAGTGTTGAAGGTTTCTGGGCCCTTTCTAAACATCCCAAAGTTAGGACTCAGTCTACTCCCAGCATTCATGTGCCCTCCTATAAAATCTACACTTCTTAACAGGAGCTCACAGAGCCCGAGGTATCCTCCAGCCTCATTACAAGGCCTATTTCATAGAGTGGGAAGCTAGGCCAGGGAAAGTAAGGAGCAGATCCTCCATCCTTGCTGCCCCTACTTGCTGACCCTTTTTTTCTTTTATAGAGACAGAGTCTCACTTTATCACCCTTGGTAGAGTGCCGTGGCGTCACACAGCTCACAGCAACCTCCAACTCCTGGGCTTAGGCGATTCTCCTGCCTCAGCCTCCCGAGCAGCTGGGACTACAGGCACCTGCCACAACACCCAGCTATCTTTTGTTGCAATTTGACCGGGGTGGGGTTTGAACCCACCACCCTGGATATATGGGGCTGGCTCCCTACCCACTGAGCCACAGGCGCCGCCCTGCTGACCCTGTCTTTAATAACTCATCCTCTCTCCAAATTCTTAATTCTCTCACTTAGTTCTCTTAGCCCATCCATTAATTCTATTTTCTGACCATCTGGCCTCTATCTTTGCCTCACCGAGAACCCATTTCATGCCTCTTTTCTACTTTCTCACATTCCAAAAGATCCTGCCACTAAAACTAAGTATATATATGTATTGAGAAATACCCATTTAGGGAGGGGTCAGTGAGTAGGGTGCTGGCCCCATATACCGAGGGTGGCAGGTTCAAACCTGGCCCCGGCCAAATTGCAACAAAAAAGTAGCCAGGCATTGTGGTGGGTGCCTGTGGTCCCAGCTACTCAGGAGGCTGAGGCAAGAGAATCGCCTAAGCCCAGGAGTTGCAGGTATCTGTGAGCCGTGTGATGCTACAGAACTCTACTGAGGGTGATAAAGTGAGACTCTGTCTCTACAAAAAAAAAAAAAAAAGAAAAGAAAGAAAGAAAAAGAAATACCCATTTGATGTTCATCAAAGAAAGCATAGCTAGAGAACAGAATTTCTAGAAGGATGAAAAAGTCAGATAGCTCCGTATTGACCATCCCACCTTCACAGTTTATAAAATACACATAAAAGTTGGCAGATACTTATTGCTATTTTCAGGGTAGAAAAGGAAGAAGCATGAAAGAACCTCAGCATGAGAACTGCTTGGATCTGTGTGCAAAGTTGTCCTTGGGTGATCCTGCCTGGGAAGGTGAATCTGAGTCCTCTATGGCATCCATGATACGGCCTCTCATGTCCAGGATAAAACATAGCCCCTCTCCCTCGGTCCTGACTCCAACATCACCACCTACTTTCATTGGGTTTCCTCAGGCTTCCCAGCACGAACAGTGGCACCACACAGACGAATGTCATGACCAGAGATATCCATAGCTTCATGATGTTGACCATCTGTCCGAATATCTGTTGTCAGGGAGATGTTTTTCCTTCCTAGTTTCTGCTCAAGGTCAAGAGACGGAAAAGGGAAAGAGAGGCGTGTAGCAAGAGCAAGTGCTTAGGGAATTTCTCCATCAGTTATCTCCTGGTTGTGGCCCACTGCCCGCCCAACAACAGACACACACCTAAGCTGAGCTCTGAGCTCTGAGCTCTGTCAAAAAGTGTCTCTCCGTCTCCCACCTCAAGTTCTCCTCTTGCTGAAAAAATATTTAAATGGGTTGCCTTCCCTTAGTTAAAAGATAATTCAAATTCAGCTTATACAATTCTTAAAACATGAAAAGGCACGAAGACGAAAATGAAATATTGCTAGTAATTCCACCATCTTGGAGAATGCTATTCTCTCCCTCATGTGTGCACGGATATGAAAAAGAATTGCTTCTATAAAACTGAAATCATATCAGGCCTGTTGTTATATAATGACTTATCAAAAAACCATTTTATTGGGTGGCGCCTGTGGCTCAAGAAGTAGGGCACCAGCCCCATATACTGGAGGTGGTGGGTTCAAACCTGGCCCTGGCCAAAAACTGCAACAACAACAACAACAAAAACTGTTTTATTAAGATGTAATAGACAGATAAAAAGCTATACATATTTAATGTATACAATATGACTTTGAAGAAAAGTGTGTACTCATGTAACCATTACCACAGTCTTGGCCATAAAGATATTCATTACCTCCAAAAGTTTCCACCAGCATAATATTAAATCTACCCTCTTAGCAAATACAGGATTGCTAACTATGGGCACTAAGCTATGAAACAGATATCTCAGGTGTATTAATCTTGTGTAACTAAAACTTTATATCTTTTGACTAATGCCTTCCCATATATCCTTCCCCAGATACTATTGTAACCCAGCCCTCTTTCCCCTGTCCACTCCTGTTCCCTACCCTCACCTGTTCCCCCCACCCACCCTTGCCTGTTCCCCCCACCCTCTCCAGCCCATTTCCCTCCTCCTCCCTTCTCCCCCCAGAGTAGACTCCAGGAACAAGGCAAGTCCCTCCTCCCCGCAGGGTGGCTGAGAACATGCTTCCCAGCCACGTTCCCAGGCCCCCTTCTTCCCCCTAGGGTTGCCAAGAACAAGCTTCAGGTACAAGAAAAAAAAGTCCCAAGTTTCACAAAACCCCCAAGTTCTCAGTAGATGAACAATGGTGGAAAACTCACTGAGACTTGATTAATTACTGTTCTATAACCATAACCATTGTGATATGAAATGTATCCATTGTCAACTGAAACTGTATTAATTATTGTTCCATTGCTGTATCTATGACTACTGAGTTGTAACCCCCCTTAACCAGCCA